CCATAGGGGGCAGTTGGGGGGAGGGTCTCGGCGCTATAGGGGTCGCTGGGCTCAGTGGGGGGGTCCCCAGCCATATAGGGGTCCCTGGGCTCTGTCTGGGGGTCCCCGGCCCTATAGGGGTCCCTGAATTCAGTGGGGGGGTCCCCAGCCGTATAGGGGGCCCTGGGCTCAGTCTGGGGGTCCCTCACCCTATAGGGGTCGCTGGGCTCAGTGGGGGGGTCCCCAGCCATATAGGGGTCCCTGGGCTCTGTCTGGGGGTCCCCGGCCCTATAGGGGTCCCTGGGCTCAGTGGGGGGGTTCTCAGCCCTATGGGGGTCCCTGGGCTCAGTGGGGGGGTTCTCAGCTCTATGGGGGTCCCCAGGCTCAGCTTGGGGGTCCCCGGCCCTATAGGGGTCCCTGGGCTCAGTCTGGGGGTCCCCAGCCCTATAGGGGTCCCTGGGCTCAATGGGGGGGTCCCCAGAGCTATAGGGCTCCATGGGGTCAATCTCAGGAGCTTGGGCGCTATAGGGGTCCCTGAGGTTGTCCTGGGGGTCCCCAGCCCTATAGGGGTCCCTGGGCTCAGTGAGGGGCTCCTCAGCCCTATAGGGGTCCCCGGGCTCAGCCCGGGGGTCCCCAGCCCTATAGGGGTCCCTGGGCTCACTGGGGGGGTTCTCAGCCCTATAGGGGTCCCCAGGGTTGTCCTGGGGGTCCCTGGGCTCAGTCTGGGGGTCCCCAGCCCTATAGGGGTCCCTGGGCTCAGTGAGGGGCTCCTCAGCCCTATAGGGGTCCCCGGGCTCAGCTAGGGGGTCCCTCACCCTATAGGGGTCCCTGGGCTCAGGGGGGGGGTTCTCAGCCCTATAGGGGTCCCTGGGCTCAGTGGGGGGGTTCTCAGCCCTATAGGGGTCCCTGGATTCAGTGAGGGGGTCCCCAGAGCTATAGGGCTCCATGGGGTCGATCTCAGGAGCTTGGGCCCTATAGGGGTCCCTGAGGTGGTCCTGGGGGTCCCTGACCCTATAGGGGTCCCTGGGCTCACTCTGGGGGTCCCCAGCCCTATAGGGGTCCCTGGGATTGTCCTGGGGGTCCCTAACCCTATAGGGGTCGCTGGGCTCACTCTGGGGGTCGCCAGATCTATAGGGGTCCCTAGGGTCATTCTGGAGGTCCTTGACCCTATAGGCTCTATAGGGGTCCCACGTATTCTGGGGGGGCTCTCTGACCCCATAGGGCTCCCTGGGGTCAGTCTGGGCCTCCCGGGCTCTATAGGGCTCCCAGGGGCTTGTATGGGGGTCCCTGACCCTATAGGCATCCCTGCCTGTAGGGGGGTGCCCATAGGGGTCCCAGGGCCGGGGCTGGGGGTCTCTGCCCCTATGGAACCCCCCTGTTCCTGGGCCCGGGTCCCTATAGGGCTCGGGATAGTTGTCCCCATAGGCATCAGGGTCAGCATCCCCATAGGAGTCCCCATAGGGGTCCCCATAGGGGTCGGAATCCCCATAGATGTCGGGGTCTCTATAGGTGTCGGGGTCCTCGTAAGCATCAGGGTCCCCATAAGCATCAGGGTCCCCATAGGGGCTGGGGTCTCCATAGGTGTTGGTGTCGCTATAGGTGCTGGGCTCCCTATAGGGCCTGGGGTCCCTATAGGTGTTGGAGTCCCCATAGGGGTTTGGGTTCCCATAGGGGCCGGGCTCCATATAGGGGCTGGGGTCCCCATAGGGGCTGGGGTCCCCATAGGGGTTGGGCTCCCCATAGGTGTTGGAGTCTCCATAGGGGTTGGGGTCCCCATAGGGCCTGGGTTCCCTATAGGGGCTGGGGTCCCCATAGGGGTTTGGGTCCATATAGGTGTTGGGCTCCCTATAGGGGCTTGGGTCCCCATAGGAGCTGGGCTCCCTATAGGGGCTGGGGTCCCTATAGGGGTTGCTATAGGGGTCGCTATAGGGGTCCCTATAGGGGCCCAGCCAGGGCTGGGGGGGCTGCGTCGGGGGGCAGGTCCCCAAGGGCCGTGTCCATGCGTGACGTGTCCATAGGTGACGTGTCCATACGTGACAGGTCCATAGGTGACGTGTCATGTGACGTGTCCATCCGTGACGTGTCCATCCGTGACCTGTCCATATGTGACATGTCCATATGTGACATGTCCATGCGTGACGTGTCCATCCGTGACCTGTCCACACGTGATGCGTCCATAGGTGACGTGTCCACATGTGACGTGTCCATGCGTGACCTGTCCATATGTGACATGTCCATCCGTGACGTGTCCGTCCGTGACGTGTCCATCCGTGACGTGTCCATCCGTGACGTGTCCATGCGTGACCTGTCCATATGTGACATGTCCATATGTGACATGTCCATCCGTGACGTGTCCATCCGTGACCTGTCCACACGTGATGTGTCCATAGGTGACGTGTCCACGCGTGACGTGTCCATGTGTGACGTGTCCATCCGTGACGTGTCATGTGACGTGTCCATCCGTGACGTGTCCACACGTGATGTGTCCATCCGTGACGTGTCCATCCGTGAGCTGTCCATCTGTGACGTGTCATGTGACGTGTCCATGCGTGACGTGTCCATGCGTGACCTGTCCATATGTGACATGTCCATATGTGACATGTCCATCTGTGACATGTCCATCCGTGACGTGTCCATCCGTGACGTGTCATGTGACGTGTCCACGCGTGACGTGTCCATACGTGACGTGTCCACGCGTGACGTGTCCCCAGGCGCTCTCTCCCTTTGCAGGCTCTGCTGCCCGTCCCGGTGTCCATCCTGGAGCACCCCTGGGTGCACATCTGGGCGCACATCTGGGCGCAGGTCCCACTGCCCGTCCCGGTGTCCATCCTGGAGCACCCCTGGGTGCACATCTGGGCGCACATCTGGGTGCCACCCTGGCTGCGTGTCCCATCGCCGCTCCCCATGTCCGCCCTGTTGCACATCTGGGCGCACATCTGGCTGCCCCCCCACTCGCCGGTCCCCGCGCCCGTCCCGGGGCACCCCTGGGTGCACATCCGGGTGCCAGCCTGGCTGTAGGTCCCATGGCGCGCCCTCATGTCCGCCCCAGGGCACATCTGGGCGCACATCTGGCCGCGGGTCCCTTTGTCCGTCCTGTTGCACATCTGGCCGCACCTCTGGGTGCTCCCGGGGGCGGGGCTCCCATTGCGCGTCCTCATGTCCGTCCCTGGGCACATCTGGCCGCACCTCTGGGTGCTCCCGGGGGCGGGGGTCCCATCGCCCGTCCGGGGGCCCGTCCCGGGCCACATCTGGCCGCACCTCTGGGTGCTCCCGGGGGCGGGGGTCCCATCGCCCGTCCTCATGTCCGTCCCTGGGCACATCTGGGTGCACCTCTGGGTGCTCCCGGGGGCGCCCCCCTCCCCCTATCTCCCACGGCCGCCCCCCCCATTGCACCTCTGGGTGCTCCCGGGGGCGGGGCTCCCATCGCCCGTCCGAGGGTCCATCCCGGGCCACATCTGGGTGCACCTCAGGGTGCTCCCGGGGGCGGGGGTCCCATCGCCCGTCCGGGGGTCCCTCCCGGGCCACATCTGGGTGCACCTCAGGGTGCCCCCGGGGGCGCCCCCCTCCCCCCATCCCCCACGGCCGCCCCCCCCATTGC